CAAAAGGACCAGCATAAACCAGCAAAGGACCAGCTTAAACCAGCATCCCAGCGTCAAAACATACCTAACCAGCATATGCTGTTTTTTTCAACAGGGAATGCTTAATATTTTTAGCATGTCGCTACACATTTGATAAGTGCTGTTTAGCGGGTGGCAGTATACTTACTAAGGTGTTTTTAGCACCTTGCTATCCATTTGCTAAGGTGTTCTAAGTGTTTTTAGCACATTGCTAGCCTATTCTTTTGTTAAGATGTTCTGAGTGTTTTTAGCACGTTGCAATTCTTATTTAGCACACTGCGAATTTAGCATATTGCTAAGGTGTTAAGGGGTTGCTAAACATTTGCTAAGGTCATCAGAGTGTTTTTTAACATTTTGCTGTACACTTGATAAATATACTATATACCTGATACTGTTAAACAACACTTGTTAAGGTGTTGTGAACATTTTAAGCACCTTGCTATATATTTGCTAAGGTGTTCTAAGAGTTTTTAGCACAATACTATTGTTTTGCTAAGATGTACCGAGTGTTTTTAACACATTACTGTTGTTATAGTGGTTTTTAGCATGTTGCTGTTCGTTTGCTATGGTGTTCTGGGAGTTTTTAGGGCATTGCAAATACATTTGCTAATTTTCTGAGTGCCAGTGCTCTACATTTGCTAAATTAGGTGGGCGAAGATTTATTCTTGCAGATTTCAGTGAAATTTTGCTTAATGTGAACACACGTTTAGTAACAGACTTGTTTTTTCAATTGGTCAGCTTGATCTTGTATGGCAGTGATCATTCATTCCTCTATGAATGAATGACTGTTTCCTTGGTGATACTGAATGGACTCATAGTATGGAGCTATTTTTAGACTACTGTGTCGCAACGGCTAAAAGACTCATGGATGATCGTTCATGTGTTACTGAGCCTTAAAGTCCCTTTAGGTATGACACAGCACTATGCCATATGCTTGAGAAAATTGCCTGTGGTTTTTAATTCACACCCATGTGTTGGCAAGAAAATATGGAAACATGGATGTGTAGCTACAAAGAACGTGATCTTAAAGGGAGAGTTCACCTAAAAATGAAAATTCTGTCATCATTTACTCATGTTCCTAACATGTATGAGTGTGTTTCTTCTGTTAAGCACAAAAGATATTTGAATAAAGTTGGTAACTAAACAGTTGACAGTAGCCATTGACTTCCATAGTGTGGGGAAAAAAATACTATGGGAGTCAATGGCTACCGTCAACTGTTTGGTTACCAACAATCTTCAAAATATCTTCTTTTGTGTTCAAATATTTAGAAATGTAGGATTTTGCAAAATTAAAAACATGGAAAAACACAAGAAAGAAGACAACAGACACCAATAGTTTCAACATGAACTGATGTGATTTTACGGCATTTTAAGTAACTGACATGTTTGTTATTACACTGTATATCTTCAGGGAGAGAAAGACGC